GTTTTGATTTCTGATTTTCATTCGGTTAACCCATCGATAGCATTATAACATATTTTTGGTTTTTGGTTTGGAGTTGTCCAGCTGATGGGTTCTTCAATTTCTTTTTTCTGATTTTCTTAACCGATGTATATCAAATATATCGAATAGTTCGTAGCCGAAAGACCGAACAAACCAAATTTAAGCGAATTTTACTAAATTTACCATATTTTTATTGTTCAATCGATTGTCGCAAATTATAACCATAGTTCAATCGTTTTTTAAACCAAACCACATTTTCCCTTACCAATCTCTCTTACCGTCTCTAACTACCCTTCCGTGAACAGCTAAAAAAAAAAACTCATAACCGTTAAAACGATGGTTAGCGAAACGTTTGATTTATTCTAGCATTCTATAATCTCTATTTTGGTGTACGAGTTTACAATAACTCAACGTGCATTAAAATGGTCGATTAGTATCCAACATTTAACACCATCTACGTCATTCGTTAAACTCTTGACTAGTTATGAGTCTCTTAGGACATTCAATTAAACAGTTATATAAATTTTCAATGGTCCAATAGTATCTAACATCTAACACCATTATCTAAAGCTTGACTAATTATTGATTTCTCAAAAACAAAACATAAAAAATCTGCAATTTATTAGTCTTGTGCATGCTTAGAAAATCATTGGTCCCTTCAATGTAAAACATTTTTACATCAAAACAGAACAGAGAGTGTTATAAATTTTAATGTCAAAACTCAAAACATAGGTTTCTTTTGAAAAACAATAACATAAACTTTAAACATATGGGGTCATCAAGAACACTTACTACTACAACACATTTAACAACTGTTTCTTTCGAATCATAAGCTTTAGTTTTTTTACTTATACAAACAGATTAAACAAGATTCTAATCTCTCTCTGAAATTTTGCAAATCAAGCAAAAGTTTTCTTGTTACCTCCAAGCACAAGAAGTGATAAGAGGTTGATTCTTCCATCCTAAATACAATGCTCCATCTCTTTCTTCAAGTGTATACTTCTCTGAGTAACTCTCAAGCAACCCTTTGATCGTTGCGTTCACATACGAGCTTAGCGGATACGGTTTAAAACCCGCCATGTGAAACCGAGACCTCCATTTCCCTAACGGCTCGTGTCTCTCTTCTCTTTCGACCCCTTCGCAAGCTATAAGATTTACGACTTCTCTAGCTAAACAATGCTGCTCGACATTAATCCTTTCTTTGTGGTCTCTAGCGAGTTTCACGTCAATCGATTCGAAAACCGCCAAGTAATGGTTCATTGTCTCCACGAACCGGGGAAGAAATGGCGCGGTGTTTGTGTTTGCTTCTTGCTCGACTAGAGTCACGACGTTTGGTGACAAACGCTTGACCAATCTCAACAATCTGTCTCTGTGATTCTCCACGGTTACACTCTCGTCAGGCATGTGGTGAAGAACGAGCGGGAAGTTAACCGCAAGCGCTTCTCCATTTCTAACCCCGAGCTTCTCAATTTCAACTTCCGTGCAGCATAAAGCGGCACCGTGGAACTCAAACGGTACACCGCACATTTCCGCTAGCTTCCCAAGTCTTTGTCCAACTAACTCAAGTCCGCCCTGTCGAGCAAACGATGATCTCGGATCATCAATTCCCGTTATCCTAACTTTCGGAGGTCCACCGGGTCTAGCACCGAGAGCACGGATTAAACTCACCCATTGACCGCCTTGAGATATCTGAAAATCGATAATGTGCACAAAACTCTCGTTCTTCACAGCTTCCGCTATAGCTCCATTAGCGGATTCATAACCGAATTTGAAATACGGGCAAGCTTCGTATAAGATATGCATATAAGTAAGAAGCTCAGGACCCGTCGGGTCTTTGCATCTCAAAGCTTTATAGATCGAGCTACCCGAAGAAGCTAACCGAGCAATAAGCCCTTCAAGCATATACGCTCCTAAACGCTGAACAGGCTCACCAGAAACCGAAACCATTTGTTGTAACTGAGAAATCAACCAATCAGTCATACCCACATCATAGTTTTCAACCGCTTTCGCGCATTCGTAAAGCGTTCCTTTCAAATCTCCCCTTGAGATCATCTCCATACATCTATACATAGCTGAAGAAACAACTCTATGTTGTTGTCCTCCAAACCCGGCTTCGCGTTGGTCACAACCATTAAAGCTGTTGTCTAAATCAGGCTCCATCATTGCAGTCTCCAAATCTTTAAGCATAAGACTAAGCTCTGTCTCGTTGTTGTTCGTAGCCGAAGATCCGCTTAACGGAGA